TCTCTCTCTCTCTCTCTCTCTCTCTCTCTCTCTCTGAGTGTGTTTGTTTATCTCATGTGTTTAACACTGTTTGTAAGGAAAAAAAAGGAAAGAAAAAGAAATCCTGGGTCCGGATGACCGCTAAAATGTATTCATTTGTTCTTTTTGACAACCCCATGCTTTCCTGATTTGAGTCACGTTGTACACAGACACACATTTTGTATGCCGAATAAATTCGTAGATTAATTGAGACTAAACCAGGGAAAACAGGTCACGAGCAGTCAGCTGGGYGGTTACGTCATATCCGGTGCCAGTCTGACAGTTCAGTTTAGCTCTCAGCGCTCAGGCAGTGGGAGAAACCCAGAAGTCTCCTGAACAACAACATGGCTCTGAATCGGAATCATTCACARAACGGCGGCGTTTTGATAAACAACGGAGAATGGTGAGTTTGGTGTGTTTTTTTTCTTTAGGTTAATTTGTTGAACCAGCTGTTGTTTTCTCTCCGTTTAGCTTGTTTACCTTCTTCTCTGTTGCTGCGTAGTGAGCCGCTGCTAGCTGGCCTGGGTAACATTAGCTATACTAACTTCTGTRTTGTTGACACTCGGGTTAGATGTGCTCGTCTGTGTCTCAGCTTATATTTATTAATCTACCAATAATATAAAAATCAAACTCCTGGCTTTTTACTCTTACTGACTGTTTAGTTTTAGTTCTGGAATTCTTGTGGCTAATTTTGTTTCGTTAGCTTACTGTCAAAACAGGAAATGGCGATTTTCGTTTCACGTTGCCATTATTATAAAGAAATGTCATCCCACATTGATTACACACAAAGCTGGGTTTCATCATAATGGAAAATACAGTTAAATTCTCCAAATGTTACCTTTCTGAATGCTTTTTAGATAAGCTGGTACTTGTTCACCTCCTTTGTTTACTCTCTCCTCAGCATTGTAAGGGACTGTAAGAATGTGGAGCTGTCCTTCAGCGATGTCACCTGCAAGACAGATCTGCTGAAGGGGACCAAGAAGGGCATCGTTTATCTAACACCATACAGGGTATTCCTTAATAAAAGAGTACAGAGTGCTGACACATCTTTACCTGTCTCTAACTTTATGTTTATTCTGCTCCAGCTTTTGTTTGTGTCCAGTAATACCAAGGACTGCCTGGGTTCGGCCATGTTCCCTTATTACCTAATGAAAGGCTGCAGCATCGAGCAGCCAGTGTTTGGAGCCAACTACATAAAAGGGACTGTGTCGGCTGAACCAGGCGGTAGGTAGCCTTCTGTTTATCAAAAATGCATCAGTTTGTGTCTTGCTGAGGTGGTTCTGGGCATGTCCCACAGATAGGAGGTCTCAGAGCAGATCCAGAACCCCTCAGAGGGATTGCACATATGCTTTAGGATCTCCCRGCAGGAGCTGGAGAGGAATATTCTGTTGTTTCTCTGACTTGACCATGGATAATTGGCTCAAAATGAATTAAATGTATTGTATGTAATAAAAAAATAAAAATAAAGTAAGAAAAAATAAGTTTATTGTTTATCCAGGTGGCTGGGAGGGTCAGGCCAATTTCAAAATGTCGTTYCCCAGTGGAGGAGCCATTGAGGTGGGACAGCACCTCTTCAAACTGGCCACAAATGGTTTGTATGCTCACAGTTTGAGTAATTCTTATCCATACTTTGTATTCATTTGATACCTTTTGAAAATAGGCAATTAAAATGTACAGAAAATGTTTAATAAAGTACAACATTCTGAAAAAGTCTCTAAAATATTTATTAAAGTTAAATTTRCCAGTAGTCCATTTGTTGTTACTTTTAACTTTAACAAAACATGATGAACTTTTTCTCTACGTGATCCTGAACACAAATCATCTTTTTCACCAAAAATTTCCGTTCCCCTTCTGTGTCCCAGCTTCTCGCGCCGCTCCGGCTCAGAATGGTGCTGCTTCCTATGGTTACCCTTCACCTGGAATGATGAATGGTTATGGTCCACCTCCACCTGCTCCGAACGGCTACCCCTCCCCACCCCCTCCCCAGCAGAATGGATTCTACCAGGGTCCTCCTCCTGCTGCTGGTAATATGGGCTATCCTTATCCAGCAGCAGCAGCAGGTACAAAGTCCTGACATTTGCATMAAAACAGTATCTGCGTTTAGACGCTGCTGAAATGATTGCAAAGCAAATGTGATCGTTATTAAAACAGTTTTGACTTAAAGCTCAGGTTTTGTTTCACTCTTCGTTTTCCTCTTTTTCACTTTTTATAAATGTAATGAAGCAGGTTTGTAATTTAAGTGTTTTATTCTCTCTGCCTGTTCTTTTTCTTATTTTATGTTTTTGTCCATCCCTGTTTCTCTCTTCAATATTTTCCTGTTTTCTTGTTGTTTTTCTGTTTCAGGAATGTACCCATCTGGGTTTGACTACATGGCCCCGCCTCCTCCGTATCCTGGGCCACCACAGAATTGGAATCCACCACCTCAGAACTGGGCTTCTGCACCTCCTCCTCCTGGTCTGTTTTTTTTCTTCACTCTATTTGGCTTTCCTCTCTCTGTACGTCTGTGTCACTGCACATGTCAAATCTAATCTCTTCTTCAAAATGACTCATCTTGAAGAAGGCCATCACTTTAAAAGAAAAGTGTGCGGATGTTTTGGCGCTAAATACAATAACAAAATGACACTTGTAGAGTTTTGTACATGAGTTTAGTTTCAGGGGGACAGTTTCACGTTGCTCCTCGTTGATTTCTGAAACCATYAATGCGCTCCGTGTTTTGAGCTGTAGCATCTGCTCCTTAGCATGTTCTGCATTCAGAACTCATCTGAGCTAATCTCCCCGTTGTCCCGTTTCCCTTTACGTCCAGGTAACTCGAAAGCGGCCGAAGCAGCAGGCAGTGCATATTATAATCCCAGCAATCCTCACAACGTCTACATGCCCGCGGTAAGTCTCCCTGCGYGTTTTCTCCTCCTCGCACCAGAAAGGACGTGCGAGTTGTTTTTTTCTGGTGACCTGATGCTTGTTTCTGTTTCCCTCYTGCAGGAGCGGCCTCCTCCATATGCACCTAATCCAGACTATCCTGAAAAGAAGAACAACTGAGACTCACCGACACTCCTGTTTTTTTTTTTTCCCCTCTCTGATTTCCTAAATCTGTTTTAGAACGAGGCGAAACTTTGATGGACTCGATGAAACACGGACGAGTCACACGGGGCTGAAAGATGTCAACCATATTAAACACAGAATCAGTGAAACACTCTGCACATTCCTTTGCTCTCGCTTTTCTTAAACTCTTTATTAATAACATTCTCAGCCATGTGATTATGTCTTTTCTGATTCTCTATAACAGGTAGGACCTGAACTGCCTCTTGTTTGAAATTTAAAGCAAGAATCTTTTATTTTATTTTTTCAGAGTGGATTTCTTACCAAAACATTTTGTACCCATTTATTCATCGCGRTTCTTGTACTTATTAATGAGATAAATCTTCTACATGTAGTGAAGTATCATAGAAAGCACCTTGTCKTTTTCAGTTTTTTTTTCTTTTTTAGTTTTTGTCCAAAAACTAGTTTTAATAATGTTGCAATAACAGACTGATTAYCATACTTAATAGTAATTATGTCAACAAGTTTTCCTTCGTCTGTGATCAGTGTGATCCTGCACTCGGTCACATTAGAGCTTAAATAACTCATATTTGATCCATCTGTATAGGATGGATTGTCCTGGAAAGAAGTAGTTTGATGGGGGATATTAGAAAGATTTGTTGGTAAACATGCGCACGCTTTGTTTGAAGTCTCACACACTGATGGTGAAGAGGTACCTAAATGAACCTGCGCTGTATTCCTGTGAACAAAAGCCAAGCTGAAACCAGAACTTTACTCCATCAGTAGTTACACTAATGTGGGTCACAGGGCCSCAGCAATGTTTCTGGGGGCCCTTCAGTGTTTTGCTTGCTGCTGATAATTCTGAAAACAGCATTTAYATATTAAAGAGGGGGCGAGGGGTCAACAGCCTCCTTAATGCRCCTCAGTTATTTGGATTATTTGCACACAGACGTAGTGGGTAGAAGGAAAGGGGTGGGGAGAGTAATTTGCCTGATTTAATTAAATTTCTGTATATTAATACCTTTTTGTTTGCCGTTCTTATTCTTTTTGCTGAATTTGTCTTGATTAAAATCTAATAAATCAATTATTAAAGTAAATGGTGTTACTTTGTTGACTTAAGCACCCTTTTAAACAGGTATACACTTCGGTTTGAACATTTTACTTTAATATATTGTAATCATTTAATTGATTGCATGAGTGTCTTTTATTTAATGTAGACTGAACATGAGTGTTACAGATATACACAAGCCTATAAAAGGAAGAGGCTTTAAAGATATAGTTCAGATCCTTTGAAGTGGGATACTGTCATAAATAATATTTTCATGTACAGGTAACTGAACAACCTCAATTTGGTAAAGAAAAATTGACCAGATTTGCCTTTTAATGGTTATTAAAGGAAAAACATGTTTTTACATGGTAAATGTGACATACAGAAAACACTTGTCTGGATTTTGAACAAAAAGCACTGGATTTTACCAAAGAATGTTGAAAAACACATTTTGCGTATTTCCATGTGATTTTGGAAGAACATAATCTGTTCATGTAGTTGCAWGGATTTCTATATGGGGACAATTGAAAAACATGGAAAATTCACATTTTTTTTCTGTCAAAGTTCAGCCAAGAACAAAGTTAATGTCTTGCATCTTGTAACTAGGGCCGACTCGAGCCAATTTTGCGCCCTATGCGAGATTTCAGGTGGCAACCCCTGTGCAATCTTCTAAATCTCACTGCTAATTTACATACATTCACATATGCAAATGAAATAGTTTTGTCTTAGATATTATTTTTTATCTTTAGAAACCTGATTGTCCAATTCAAATATTTAAAAGTATACAACCCCCATTTTATGACCATTTGCATCACCGTCACATGCCATTACCCCTACATTTACATACAAATCTGTGAGTAATTGTAAGAGCAAAAGGTACAGTAGCAGCAGTTAGCCCCATAATGTTTCTGCTGTGTAAAATTAATGATGGTAGATTTAGAAAAAAGAACTGGAATGAATCAGTAGGACATTTTTAAACAAGTTATAGTAATCCACTTTGTTCCTGGTCTCGACTGGACCAGCTGTTCAGCTTGTCGGTCTGGTCAGAAATAATATATCTCCCAAACTGTTGCTGTTCACAAAGCTTTCTGTAACAGGTAAGATATTTATTGTTCACAACACCACCGAAATCCTCTTCAAAAACTGAACCATCTGTAAAAAGATTTTTTAATGCCTCCTAAATGCTTAACTTTAGAACGACTTCTTCACCACACCGTAAATGTATTTTTGCAAAAGCTTCCAGCTGCATGAGTCACGTTTCGTTTTTGAGTTAAATAAAATCGAACAATGGAGTGCAACGTCTTACTCTGAAAGAAATATTCTGCCATGAAATCTGATAAAACAAGCAAACTCACAAGAGTCTACACTCTAACTGAATTATTATATTTATTATACAATGAAACGATGTCGAGCCTGAAGATTAACTTCATCACAGAAAACTGATTTGAACAAACAGGTCACATATGTTTTAGAGTTTCATTAAATAAGGATGGCAAACGTCATGCACTGAAACACAAACATGCAGAAGCTTTCTGAACCAACGTGACAACACAAAATTCTAAAGTTAGAAAAGAGCACACCTGTCCCTCAGGTATTAAACTCAGGGTTTTCTCCTGTGCCTAAGCATGTCTTTATCTGTTAGCAAAATATCTTGTTAACCAGTTGACAGATTTGAATACAATGATCAGACAATAATCGCTGCATATCCATCTACAGCTGATTAGCTTTTAAAGCCAACACAATTCAAGATGGCCGCCACAGTCGACTGAATTTACAGAGCGCAAAAATGGCTCTAGCAAATCAGTTTGACAAACACTRAGACAAAATAGCTGAGAGTTATCCACAACATATACTCCGAACACTGCTCATTGCACAAGATCTTTGCTTAAAGCTTTGGTCTTAACTGTCCAATGTCCACCCTGTTTGTCTGTTAGCAAAATATCTAATGCACCAGTGGACAGACTTTATTGGAAGTTATCATTGGATGTGCATCTACAACTGATCAACTTCTGGAGTCAACCCAATTAAAGATGGCCGCCAAAGCAAATCTGTCTTCCACATAAAGATTGTTATAACTCAGTCCAGTTTACAGATGACAGCTTCGGACGTTTGACCAAAATGGCTTCACTTTGCAATTTCTCACAGGCTGAYATGCATTCCTTCAAAGTTTTATAACCATTCTTTACATTTCCCATAGCTTTAACTGATGTTAGGGAGCTTTCCTGGAAACCAGCAGCATTAAGGACAAACAATTCAGGAAAATATAAGGGCATGCATTCTTTCTATATATGACGAAAATATTTACATCATAGTTGCTATGASGAAGTTGTATTTGTATCTCTATGCTCCTCATTAATGCACATCTTTCTGAACAGACTGAACTTCCAATATGTTCTTTCTCCTTTTAAACAAAATTCTTGTAAAAACTATATGTTAAGATGTATTCTGTTATTTTAAGGAAAACCCTTAGAGAAGWTGAATTACAGAAAGTCTGATAAACAAGTTGAAGCTGCTTCTTTCTTGTTGCTTCATTTGAAATGGTCCCATCGCAGAACACCTGACTTAAGTTTTACAGCTTTCTGCTGTGACAAAAAAAGTCCAATTTTTTTTTACAACAAACTGATTTGACTTAAGTGAACGTCTTTCACGGCTCTTCCTGTAGAAACCAAACCTCGTTTCTACGTCCGTAAGGCTTGAGCGGTGGGTCGAAGCTACAGCAGAAGAACTGTTTGCGCTGATATGGTGCCGTTTCGCCCAGGGTGCGCGTCAGACGCAAGGCCTCGGCTCGATACTCGCTTTCCCCTGCGAAGCCGCCAAACTGCCTGTGGAAAAACAGAAAAGAAACGAGAAGGTTCAAACCACAAAAAGCCATTTATAACACTCAACAATTGCTCTTTCATAGTGATTAGAAGTTTGTGAACAACTGTAATTATTGTTAGACATTGATAAATTATGAACATWTGAGAAACACTGGGTTGTGGTTCAGTGACTGCTGTTGTCTTGCTTGGCAAAAACTTTCACTTTGTTGTTTCTGTGACAGTTTTTCAGTCCTGCATCAGCTTGGAGGGAATTCACTTCACTGAACTGTACAGAACAGCTTTGACTCTGRGCTGCTGGTGAGTTTTCTTCCTTACATGAATTGCTCACTTCCTGTTCTTCAGAGTATGTTTTGGATTTAGGTCAAGACTTAACTCCCCTTCACTGCTTTTTGGTCAAATGATATGCATGTTCAGGGTTTTTGACTTTTTTATGAATCACATAACCTGTGAAGCTGCATTCCCAGAACTGACTGTAAATARTTGGTGAMATAATTGWTCACTAATGAAGCCTTGACTTTGGSGATGTGAACAAATTTGGACCAGAAGGTGAAGCTGAATGATGATTTGTGAAATCTGATGGAATAAGTTATGTGAATTTACAATGATACCATACAATAACCATACAATATGTAGTTATATAAGGCTGGTGAGGCAGTGCTAACCAACTACACCATTGTGCAACCTGCTTGTCAGKGACTAAAGGTCCTATTTTGACACCATACAGGTACAGGGATGTGCACCTGGTGGACTGTGAGACACATGTGGCCAGTGAGTGACTTCCAGCCAGACGGACTCAAAGCAGCTCTTAGAATCTACTAGACTATCTGCAAACCTACTGTCTGCCATGAAGGATTTYAATAAAAGTCRCCACTACAACACGTTGCACAAAGCTAAATATGAGAAGTTTACTGAAGTCACAGGTACATAACCAACAGACTTTTTACCAGAGCCACATCCAGCAGGAGTCTGCACTTAAGCTGTCTGATGCCCTTATGCTTGATAAAATAAGTAAGTGCTTACTCTTTGTTTGATTTAATTGTTTTTAGATTTACATTTCTTGAACAAGAATAGAATTGTTATACATGCATTTGAGCATGAAATAAG